GGGTGAGGGGGTTGCTGTTCAATCACAAGGATCAATCTATAATGCCCCCACAGGGAGACGAATAATGGAAAAGTGAATAAGGGGCAATGGAGGATGAAGATATGAAAATAATAATCTATAACTTATCAAGGGTTCGTGAGGAAGGGCGGGCGGGGGAGGGAGAGGGAAGAAATGAGGAGCTGATATCGGGCTCAAGTGGGAAGAGAATGCTTTGATAATGATGACGGCGGCATATGTGCAAATGTCCTTGACACACTGGATGAATGTATGGATTGTGATAAGAGATGTAAGAGCCCCCAATAAAAGTATTTAAAAAAAAAAAGATGAAGCGCTTCCAACATAACTGCCATGGTGCAAATGGGTGTAATTTTTATTATTACTGTAATGCGCAACAAGTTTCTTCAGGTCATTTCTTTCCTCACTGCTCATGCCCAAACCGAACTCTTCTGGACTACTCCCTTATTCCTTTTCCAACTTCCTTGTTCTGTCCCTAACAGTACTGTGCTCTCCACCCCCCGCCTTTTTTCTTCGCTTCTTCCTTCTCCTCACTGGTTTTTTTTTCTTTTTTCCTCCCACTTTTCCCTTTTTCATTATTATTACTGCTACCTTGGAACGGGTACTCTCTTCTTTCATCTCCGTGTCCAGCAGCACTTTCCCCACCTGAGTGTGATCAGCAGAGCACACAGCACATACTGAGCACTGCAGCAATGTTGGCAGCATGGACTCGCATTAGGACTGTGTGGCTTATCTCCTTTCTTGCCAGCTTTTCCCTCTCACTCGCGGCCCTTCTTTTTTTCATTTCCACTCCTCCAACACTTTTTTGGGGGAGGGAGGTGCGCTCCACCCCCACCCCCTTTGTAGCTAGCAGAACCTGTTCAGCCCCACTATGGCTGACAGCACTTGCTCTCACCACATTACTGCTATAGCCATGTTTAACGCTTAGTGCTTTCTTCAGTATGGAGTCTCTTTCTCCCCTTCTGTCTTCTGAGATATAGTCAATTAATATGGCCTTTCTAGCCATAAGTCCTTATGTGATGTGTTATAATTCTGGACTATATGCCTGTGGCTATGATCCCATTTTAGATGGAGCTCTCTGTTACAGGATTAAGGTAGCCAACCAACACAGGAAGAAATGTTCGAAATCAACCATTTGAGAAATGGAAACCAAAGCAACTATGAAAAGGCACTTTGTGCCAGCATTGAGAGCACAGTACAATAACAACAGGTAACAATAGATGCTGGCAAGGGTGTGAAGATATCCTCATACACTGCTGGTGGAACTGTTAAGACAATACAACCAGTGTGGAAAGCAATATGGTACTTGTTAAAAATATTAGGAATAAAAGAACCATATGACCCAACAAATCCCTCTACTTGGTATATGTGCTAAAGAAACAAGAGCTGCAACATGAATAGACATATGCGCACCCATGCTCACCACAAACTAATCACTATAGCAAAAAGAGAGAAGCCGGCTAAATGTCCATCAGAAGAATGAATAAACACACTTTGGTGCATATACCAAACGAAAACTATGCAACATTAAATAATGATGAATCTCAGACCACAACATGATGTAACTAGAGGACAAAACTTGTGATTAGTCAATCACAAAAGAACAATTATTATATGAGACAACTATTATAAGAATTCATGCAGGAGGGGGTGGAGGGAGGGTGGGGTAGAAAGGGGGAACTGATTACAAGGATCTACATATAACCTCCTCCCTGGGAGACAGACAACAGAAAAGTGGGTGAAGGGAGACGTCGGACAGTGCAAGATATGACAAAATAATAATTTATAAATTATCAAGGGTTCATGAGGGAGGGG